GGGAGGGTGATCAGTCCTGCCCGAGCTCGGGCGCACATCCTCTTGCAAGAGACTCAATCCGGCTTGGCCTATACCCATGAGCATCACAATTAACTCCGTACCTAACAACACACAAGACCTCAACAGGTCGTTCGGTGTATTGCCAGCATACTCCGACTACCTCACCAACAAGGTGGACACGTGACGCCAAGTTCCAGTCTCGTATCCGAGTCATACTGATAATTAGCTCACGATTTTATCACGGCCCGTGTGTCTCCATCAGAGACAACGACACAGTATACAGCACAACCCAGATGCTCATACTCACACGATATCGACTCCACGAGTCGAACGCAACCCTTATGTGCAACATAAAGATTGACCAATAGCAATACGACATTCCCAATTTGCCCACTTGAGAACTCTCAAATAAGACATAGGGACTCATTGTCTACTCTCCTTAATCAGAAATCATCGATTAAGGATTTACACACATTTAGTGGGACTTGGAGCTCTCGGTTCAAGGTTCAAACGAAAAGGGGTTCAAAAGGATAACCAAGTATTCCAGCACGAAACAGTTTCAACAGCTCAGGACAAACATCAATGGTTGGCCACACACGCTGGTCTGGGGAGTTCGTGCGTACGGTGATGGCGGCTGCAGTTCGCATGCGAGTCAACGGTCGGCCGCGCGCAAGCCTCCCGTCTCTCAGCACCGTCGTGCGTGCTCGGCCACCACTTCGCGTGGCTACACCCAGCCAGAGTCGGCGTTCGGTTCAAGGTCCCACAAGGAGGTTTCAATCTTAGATCACCAAAAAGAAATGGTTTTACCAATTAACGAGAATTTTGGGTCCAATATATATGTTTTAGTCGTTTCACAATTTTCAAATGTTTCAAAAGTCTCAAATATCGCAAGGGGAATGCTGGAGTTCCAAGTCCACTGCCTTGTCTAATCAAAACAAAACAATAACCACTAAACAAACTAAGATATGGGATCGAGAAAAACCTCTCAAAAGAAACGAGGATCAATTCCTCAGCCGACAATAATCTCAATCCCAGCGGTCACTACTGAACAATGAACGCTTGGCTCACTCGACTCTTCCGACAAACAGTGTCGGCCGTCACGTCAGCTCTCGATTCAAGCAGCTAACCGTGTCGGCAGTCTTAAATGAGCTTCTAAAGATACGATGAACGAACATCAAAAGTGAAGGTGACCCTGCACCCCACAATGTGTTTGTTCCGGACTCGACTATCCTCCTTAAAAGATTTATGCAACCCTTTTAAGGTGGAAAGAAACACTCCTTAACATGAAGCATATCACTCCATCTTCTTTATCGAACCGATTGGTGTTGACTTCTGCTCCCGCACGTTCGTCTTGATGCCGAGGGTGAATAATTGTTGTCGTCCTCGAGGGCAGATTATTCATGAAAGTGGCGATAGGAAATTGTGCCCTCGAGTGTTCGTGATAATTTAGCAATGACATCCAAACGGAACTCAAATACTTTGCAAGCGAAAAGAGATAAGCAGAAACAAAAGATGCTTAATCTCACTTGCAATCGGGTTCTTCAAAACAAGGCCAAAACCAAGCGAAACAAAGATGGGGTTTGAATACGACTATACCCCAGACAAACGAGAAAAGGACTGGGCCGATTGCAAACCTCCGGTGTCTATTGCTTTCCCACAAACTGCAACGTTACTCGGTCTCTTGAACTTTCTGCATCGAGTTAGAGGTCTCACAAAACAATTTCTTTTTAAAAGACAAGGATCAATAAAAATGACGATGCTCAAT